CTTGCATCTGGAAGCACCCATACAAAGGGTGACAGGTTGGGACAGCCCCTTTCCGCACGTCTTCGAGCCGTTCTACCTGCCAGATAAGTGGCGATGCTTCGCCGCTGTCAAGAACGTCCTGAACTACTGAAACTGAAACCGAAACCGAAACCGAGACCGAAACTGGGGATGTTCTACGGAGCTACGGAACACACAGTGGAACACGTCGGAAACCTGTTGCCTAGTTGGACAACGGCCTCGCGAGATGAACACGCCGAGCAGCGCCATGCACAATCGATTTCTGTCATTCTGTGTGCAAGCGCGTCGTACACCAACGAAGCGCCGCTTGTCGCTGAACCGGATCACAGATCATTTGACCTCCGCGTCCTCGCATTTGTCCCGAAAGTTTCCAGACGAAAATTGCATTTCACAGGATCGTCGAGGCTTCTTTGATCGGAGGGGAGATCGTCGGGGTTAAAAGTACCGATTTTGAGAAAACACAAACATTCACTGAGAAATAATGCAGTTATCTTTTTTTTTATTCCGTTTCTGACTGATTTATCGTGAAATTTATTCCACTTCAAGAGTGGACTGTCAACTCGAATTTAATATGTTGCAATAAGTTTTTTTTACAGAAACTCGGTTGACACGTGTGGCAATGTATAAATATTGTTATATATGATAATAATATGTATAATATTATTATAAAAATATTTGTAATATAAATATATCTGAATATATTCAAGTATTCTAATAAATGCTGTTACAACATGCTCTTCATAATATTCGTATAATTAACATTTTCTATATATATCTATATAGGTATAATCTAATTAATATTTTCTTAATAATATTTGATTTATAAGAACAGAACAATAGATTTATTTTACTCACGTGACTCGCGTTTATTTCATTTTCATTCTTTTTTTCATTTTTATTCTTATGTTTGATGACCATTATACGCCGTCGAAATACAATTCGCCTCGTCGACGCTTTTACGAGCAATTGAAACGAATTTCCCGCACGGATAACGATCACGAGCGACAGAATTAATGTTTCCCACATCGATAACCGTTAGCAGCGATCAAAGTAGAGTTTCCTTTAACGATTAATCGTTATCGGCAATGGAAATGATTTTTTTCGTCACTCGTAATTGTTATTGGTCGAGAAAATAATCGTCATTCCATCACCGTTGTCATTTACATTATTATAAATTAATTTATATTATTATATAAATTAATTTTATATTATTTATATTATATATTATTATATTTATTATATATATAATATATATAATAATATGAATTAATTATATAATTATGTAATTAATGTATATATATATATTATTTCATACGTAGGCACAAATTAACAATTAATTTTACTCGCATCGTAAACATAAATCCGCTTGGAAGTATAATAAAATTCGATATGAATTGTTTGAAATGTAATAATAATAATAATAATAATAATAATAATAATAATAATAATAATAATAATAATAATAAATCACTGAATTATTGGTAATTTTGTAATATCGCTATTCACAGAAACACGGTCTAGAAAAGTGTTGGGAGAATCATTAATAGAGGAATAGTGATTCAGAAACTTGTTGAGAATGAAACGGCATCGCGACGCAAAGCTACTTTAACAAAGCATAACGCTTCGTTAGCGAATAAAATACAATAAAAGTTGCCGGAATATTGCATTCTACGCATTCGATTATCTCGCGAAGCAAACGCAGGATTTTTTCAATCGACTTGCACTCAGTGTTTTGAAGCCATGTACAGTAAATTCTCTCTAATTGTCGCTCAGATTGTCCAAAAAAAATGGACAATTTGGCAAAAGAAGATACGATTATTATTTCTTTTTTATAGTTAACGTTTGTCAACAGCCATAAAAACGGGTCGCAAGGCTCGAATAATCGCATCTCCTCCCCCCAAATTGCCAATTTTTGTGCTCAATCTGAGCGTCAATTAGAGAGAAATTATTGCACAGTAATTTCTCTTTAATTCGCGCTCAGATTGCGCACAAAAATGGGCCATTTCGGAAGAGGAGATACGATTATTATTATTATTATTATTATTATTTTATAGCTACCGATCATCAACAGCTATAAAAACGGATCGCACAGTGCGCAATCAGGGAATTAGAGAATAAGCGCGAATTAGGGAGAAATCATTCTACCCCATTGTGCGACGTCGACGCGGCGACCGGCAACGTAATTGGTACCGACGAGACGATACTCGCAGTTAGAATGAATGTGTCCACCAGTTTTCACGGAATATCTAGGTCAAGTCTGTCTTTAGCAGTAAAATCGAGAGCCCGATCGCGGGGACCATGCGTGGCAACGTAATATCTTAATCAAGGCCCCAGTCTCAGGTGTTGCGTCGCGCCGGCCGGTTGGCCCCGCATATCCTTGGAGAAGGCGAGACCGACACGTCGATAGAACGCAATTTTACTCGGATAGTTGAAAGCCCGTCGGCCAATTACCGGCAAGCGGTGATCCCGGCGACGCGGACGGGACCTTGTAATCGACGCGGAAATGACCGACGACACCGATAAATAATGACAGGAACGAAGAATGTCATCCCGTGATAAGCATCGCCGTTCCACGAAAGGTTAACGATCACGGCCGGGTCACAGATACGTGCCGGCACACAAATTGGATCGTACGTTACAATCTGGACCAGCGTTGGTCGAAGTTCGGCCGGGAACCGGCTGAACAGAAACGTGTCAAAGGAAACCTCGCGGAAGGTGGATTGTTCGGATAATTAACACGTTAAGTGCCGCGAGTATCGATCTCGAAGATGTACGCGAAATCGAAGTAATTCGATGAATGGAAAACTGTAATTAGAAATTTCTTCGTTTTAGTGGAATATAGTAGTCTTTACTGTTTTGAGTATTAAAAATTCTAGTTGAATTCAGAGTTTACAGAAATGTCTCCATTACTGACGCTCAGATTGTGCACAAAGATGGACAATTTGGGAAGATGAGGTACGATTATACGAGCTTTTCAACTCGTTTTCACAGTTGTTGGCAATTCGTGACTATAAAAATGAACTGTAAGGATCGAATAATCGTCTCTCTTTTCTCTAAATTGTCCATTTTTGTGGACAAGCTGAGCGTCAATTAGAGAGACATTACTGTATTCGGCTACGCCGCGATTGAAATGAATGTTTAAACCTAGTCAAAATTTAGTGGTTATTATAGTGGTTATATTGTACACTATATACTATAATATACTGTAGACTGTACTGTACTATTTATATAGTATGTAGTATATAGTGTAGTACAGCATAGTATAGTATGAAGTATAGTATACTATGTAGTATATGGTATAGTTTAGTATGTAGTATATAGTATAGTATAGTATGTAGTATGTAGTATATTATAGTATAATGTAGTATGTAATATGTAGTATATTATAGTATAGTATTGTATGTAGTACATAGTATATTATAGTATAGTATTGTATATAGTACATAGTATATTATAGTATAGTATTGTATGTAGTACATAGTATATAGTATAGGCTAGTATTGGTTAGTAATGGTATAGTTAGTTAGTTAGTATTAGTATATAGTATAGTATAGTATGTAGTATATAGTATATTATAGTATAATGTAGTATGTAATATGTAGTATATTATAGTATAGTATTGTATGTAGTACATAGTATATAGTATAGGTTAGTATGTAGTATATAGTATAGTATAGTATGTAGTATATAGTATATTATAGTATAATGTAGTATGTAATATGTAGTATATTATAGTATAGTATTGTATGTAGTACATAGTATATAGTATAGGTTAGTATGTAGTATATTATAGCATACTATAGTATGTAATATGTAGTATGTAGTATATAGTATATATATGAAATAATAAGAACAAAGAATAATAAGAACCGAATAATAAAGAATACAGTAACATGAAAAAGTTGATCCGACAAATTTTTCGACGCCCGCTTCGTTCCTCGCGAGTTCGTTAAATCGCCAAAAAAGTGGGGCGGGGGTGGGGAGTAAGGGGAAGGCCCAAATAATGGAGGGAGGTGTGCTGCGCTCGGTGAGCTCGCGCCGTATTTTGTAATTTGAAAGGGAAACCACATTCTTTCACTGTGTATTATGATACGTGAAAGTTGGCAACGGTGCACACTGTCGAAGCACACACACACACACGGGCCGCTGAAACGGAGAGAGCGCGAAGAGGCGAAGAGAAGCGAGACGAAGCGGCCGACGGAAGAGGAAAGAGAGCGAGTTCGACGAGGGTGCGAGTGGGAGGGAGGGAGGGAGAGCGAGGGAGACAGAAGAGCCGCGGAAAGGAGCAGAGAGAAAGACACCGCGGGAGAGCCAATTGCCACGAAGGTATAGACTATATCGAAGGTCGACGAGTTGCTTTTTTATTAGCCGATTTTTGCGGGAATAGAGCAACGGGCTCTGCGCACGCTAACATATGGCACCGGCGCGCTTGCAATCGTCGCAAGCTGATGGATTCTTGAAAAGCGGTGATCCGTTCGCGACGACGGATCGACGGCACCCGCGAGATCATCGGTCGTCGACAAGCTCGCAAAATTCGGGCTCGTTCTAACACGCTCGAAGCATGCCGGAGCCTCGATTATGCGATCCTCCCCGATATATCAGAATTCTCTATTGTCCTGTATACGTGTTACACGCAGTCTGCTTGATCGAAGGCAATTCATATGCAAAGCGATTTGCTGCGTAGATCAATGAAGGCGAAATCTGGCGCTGTGTAACTATCGAAGGGGCGAAATTCAATTTGGAAGGAATTTTCGAACTCGATTTTCTCCAAAATCTACGCTCGTTTCTACATTTTGCTCGGTTGGTTCCTATAATCAATGTATAAACTATTTATACGTCTTTTGAAACGGAATAACTTTTTTTAGAAATTAGGCCGAACGGTCCAAATTGTTGTCGGATGCCAGAGCGATCAGTTTACTAGACAATGGCTAAAGAATTATTGTCAAAACATACGCAATTTTTGGGGGCACTTTTCACCCCTACAATGTCGACGACGGCCGGCGAAAAGATACGAGTCGAATATTTTTCGTTGAATAATTTTTCTCTCGAAGGTTCTCTTGCAATCGGTTCGTGTAATCGATAGGTTTTCCTTGTAAGTAAGTTTCCTATTATTCGGACTCGCTCTTGATCTGCCCGGGTAATCGAGTTTCACCGTATTTGGAATTTTAAAACACACATCCGATAAGAGAGTACAATAAAAAGGGAATTTAATCACACCATCGCTATACTCGATTCGATCCGATTCGATTCGACCATTATATTCGAAACGCGATAGCAAAAACAATAACCTGGACGTTATCGAGTGGCTAAATGCGAGAACAAATTTAACGTTTTGCTTGTACACCATGTAATTCCGAGTTATTCTTGGAACATTTTCCCGACTTCAATTAGTCCTACGTTATCAAATGAATGGACCGTTTATTTTGAAGATGGTGCAAGTTCATTTTTTGTTGTTTGGAGACAATTAAAGGTTAGCATGTTAGTCAATTGAAAAATATCAATTAATTATGGTAAGTCTGGCACTGTTTTTACTAATTTATCAATCTGTAATTTGATTATATAAATTTTTTTTTAGGCGAATTTAACTAAAATAATATATAATAATAATATATATAAAATAATAATAATAATAATAATAATAATAATAATATAAATAATATATAATAATATAAATAAAAATAATAATAATATAAATACTATATATATATATATTTACAGGCTGTAAATGGACTTATATCATTCTCATAATTAGTCAATTGTAAAAATCGTTTAATTTCAATTGTAAGAAATTAAACATCACTTAAAATATATTTTATATTAGTCCAATTCTGTTTATAAATAATAACAAGAAGTGAAATAGTAGTATTTCTCATTTCGAACGTTAATTATATTTATATATCGTTAACCTTACCATAAGATATATAAGTTATAACATAAGATAACAAAAAGAAGGATTGACACTTCTTAAGATATCAAATATTAACTAATTATAAATAAAAACGTTAAACTAAATGAATCACAAGTTATATGATATCTCATTTTTTTACAAAAATGGACTTACACCATTTTCAAAATAAACAGTCCAAATATTAAAGTAGCACGTGCAAATGTGATTAAAAACAGTTGTTTCTCATAATTCCCATACGTTTCTCACAAGCGACTGCGCAAAAGATCTGCCCATGGCTTCTTTTTTCAATATAAGCCCACGCAATCTTTTTGTTCGTCCTACTTACTATTTAAACTTTCGTTCGACGAAACGTCTTTCCTTTCATAATCTGATATTTTTAACGGATGCGTTAAACCGTGACGACAACGCAATCATTGGGAGATAAAAAAAGATTTTATGGTGTTCGAATCGACAGCGAGCCGCGCGATGTTCGATTAATAAAATACACGATGATGATACAGGAAAACCATCGGTCGAACTTTCATTCTTCAATGTCCCGACAACCATGGTCAATTGTTGCATAAATAACTAACTCGAAAGCGGTTACATTGACACGACGCCGACGTGACGTAACGGCACTTAATGCATTATTACGAGCATAAGATCGTCTCTTTAACTCTAGATTTATGGACAACGATTGTACACGCATTCATGACTACAGGCATCCTGGCTATCTTAATTACTATTAGACTGCGGATTTTCTGTATTTACGATGGAAATGAATAGCCGCAATTTTACACGGAGTACGAACGTTTTTTAATTATAAGTATAATAAAGTATTTTAAAGTATAATAAATAAGTATAATAAGTATATAAATAAGTATATAAAAATAATAAGTATATAAATAAGTATATAAATATAATAAGTATATAAATAAGTATATAAATAAGTATAATAAAGTATAATAAAGTATTTAGTAATTATAAGTATAATAAAGATTTACGGCCTACTTATAAAAGCTGTCCCAAAATTATGGTACTTACAGGCAACGAGGGGTTCCCGAGATCGTTCGAAGCAACTTTTCCGAAAATGCAATCCACGGCTTTGTTTATGAATTATTAACGACCAATGAGCGACCAATGAGAGGCGAGATCAGCTGGCGCGAGGCGGCCGAACCAATCAGCGAAACTGAGCATCGTCCGATCCCTTAAATCCCGAAAGTACCATAATTTTGGGACACCCTGTATATCATTGATGACATTATCGTATTATCATTGATAGAAAAAATGTCACAGGAAAGTATAACCAAGGTTGGAGGAGCATTTGCGGTAGCAAAAGATCCTTTTAAGTGATATTTCTCGCGACTTCCTGACCGCCGATGAATTGTTTAATAAAACCGTGTAAAATTGAAAAATCGTTTGAAATTGAAAAATCGTTTAAAATTGATTTACTTTCGTTAGATTTTATTAGCAATTGCGTCGTGTGAATTTACGTGAATTTAAGTGAAACGAACGTGACATGATGTTATTTATATATATATATATATATATATATATATGCTATGTAACCGATATTCGAAGTATTATTCTGACGAATCCGACTGATTCGGCGTGACTCAAGGCTTCATACATTATTTATTAATATTACGATATTACGCATCGATAATATCACCACTTCGATTCGTACGACTGTTATTACCCGCAGCGAAAAAAAGTAGAGTTTATTGCTATCAAAAGATACACAATCTGACGTTAATAGCCTTTTTTGTAGATGAACTCGTGAATGACTTACGAAGGTCATCAACGTTTTTCTTTTTCTTCTTTTTTTATAGATAGAAACATATATATTTTATTGCAGTAGGTCTCGATTTCCTTGCAGAAGAAGTGTTTTAAGCGCAGTTTACTTAAAAGAATCATTAATTTAAGAGATATGATGATTTTATCGTTGCTATAAAAGTATCGACCTCATACTTAACGCCGGGTTATTTACAGAATTAGTATTATAGAGTCGATTTTCTCGAAAGATACAGCGAACAAAGGAAACGACGCGTGAGAAGAAAGTATTTGGCCAAGCGAGATCCTGGAGGAAAACATTAGATTGTTCCATAAGTGTCTTCCTTCTTTGTGATACGAAATGAATGCTCAGGTATTTGTTGTTTACGGTTGATTTATTGCGTTATGTATGAACCGTTTTGCTCTGTCATCATCCTCCATCTCTCAAGTTACGTCCCAAGTCCAAGGGTGACGAAAAGAAGGACAGTACTCATCGCTGGAGAAGATGGACAGTAAGAGAGAGGCGGGCTGCTGAAAGAAGGGTCAACGAGGAGGAGCTAATTCCGGCGCTAGTAGTGAAGAATGTCGGAAGCTCGAGGTGGTGTTTCGGATACAATTCAGATCCACTAACCTTATGTCTTAATTAACACGTTCCGTGCCGAGCTTTTTTTACTCGAATCTTCACACTTTGATATTTTACTAAAACTTGATGTATTACGTGCAATTATTAATTCTCGTACACATAACAACGTAACAAAAACTTATCAACGCCCATTCTTGCGGTGGAAATTGATTCTTCGGTTCTAAATTTCTTGTAAACAATTTGTTCAGTTCACTAAGTAAACATGCAAGCGTGTACCATCGATGGTACACGTGGCACGGAACGTGTTAACTAAGTAATCAACTAAAAAATACACTCCACTGCCTTTGTACATGTCTTATCTCGGCGACTTCGGTTGTGAATTTTCGATTCGAGCTCTACATCTCTCGATATTTAGGAAAACTGTTAGCGGCGGCCATCTTGTGTCGTCTAGCTCGTGACATTGACACCACTCTCTGGCCGAATATTGCAAATATCTCCGCAATAACTGCGAAACGGATATTTCTACAACCGAAGTCCAGTCGTTTAGTCTTTTTGGAATCTAAATTTTCCACTTGTGAACTGCACACTTCGATATTAAAGCGTCAGTTTTAGTGGATGTAAACCTCTTAAACTAATACACGTATGTGGCTTTTCTTCTATGTGTGGGTTGTCATAGTGTGCGGCGGCGTCGCACCCTTTAACGGCGGCATCGAGGTGACAAAGGAGTACGTCCACTACACACGAAGGCTGAGCCACGGCTATGGCCTCTGGGAGACAACGAAGGCGATTGGGAGACCCAAGGGCGGAAGTGGAAGATGATGAAGAAGGGACAAACGACCGAAGGCTAGCCAGCTTACGTTCTCGACGAAAAAGGACCGGAAATACGGGAGAGAAAGAAACTAGCACAGCCCCCGAAAACGGAGACAGCGATCGTAAAGGCGACGGAAGGAGGACTCATGCTAACTTATTTAAGTCAATTAAGTGTTCGCCGGGGTCCTCGCTCCAGGATCTAAAATCTATTGGGAAGCCCAGAAGGGGCGATCTTATTCCGGAGCTTCAGAGGGCGCCGGGTCGAGGACCTCTATCCGAAGTCTAGGGCGAAGGCTACCCTTCGATGTTCTGCACGAAAAAAGGGGTGGCCGAAGACAGGTCACGTGGCCGGAGCTGTGAACTGGCTTCAATATAGCACTTATATGAGGTCGATATTGCAAGGTATTGGTTCAGTATCTCCACTCTGAAGATTCTGCAGTCGATTATATTATTGCTTTCCTGTAATTTGGTCGAGTTTATTTTTAGTTTAGTTTATTATTTCTATTATATTTTATATATTTTGTTTTAGCGTAGTTCAGTTTATTTTATCGTTTCGGGAGGCATCGTTTTTATATTTTTTTCGTCCTTATTTGCAACGTGTTTCTTGAATCTTTTGGCAAAATGAGAAGGCAAAAACGCATCGAAGTATTATCATAAATTAAAGAAGTTTAAGTTATTTTAGTTCAGTTTTCTTAATTCGATTATGAAAATTACATGTGAAATATTAAAAAAATTTTAAAACACTATTGGGAAAGGTGTTTTTTCTAAAAAAGTTAGTATCAACCACGCGGCACTGAACGTGTCAACCCTTTGCACCTGATTAGCGACTCCGAGGCGCCAATAAAAATAGTTATGTCTCGAAATAATTTTATTAATCAAATTTGTTTATACTTAAAGAGCTGTCGAAAACGTGACAGTTCCATAAATCACAATACTCAATTTCATAAAACGCATTAGGTCATATCAAATGGAAAAACCATGGGTCGACAAAACCGTTTCAAATCTCCCGTTAACTCGATAATTTCGAGGCTCGAAAGCCTCGCGAAACGGTCCACATTTCGAAAGAAAAAGAGCGCATCCCGGCGCGGCAGCAGCAGCAGCAGCAGCAGCAGCAGCAGCTGGTGTCACGTGGTGCGCGGCGTTCGGATTTTCCGCGTTGTCGGTGGCGCTGCACCGTCGGAACGACGCGGCGCGACGGAGCGACGCGACGTTACGCCGCGCCGCCAGCTTTCGGGCGATTTCGGGCAGACGTGCGGCCTGGCCTCGGTTGGGAGGGGGGTGGGTGTAGTTACGACTAGCGGCGTTCGACTTGACTCGGGTGGGGCGACATCACGCCGGGGACGGAACGGCACGAGATTCTCGCAGTGTCGAATCCCGCCGGTCGTCTCGTCTCGTCTCGACTCGACTCGACTCGTCAGGTCTCGTCAGGTCTCGTCACGTCCCGCGCGCGTCACCGTTCTTCTTTTCGGAGCCGTCGCCGACCTCGCTTCCTCGATTCACGTCCACCCGAGCGCACGTTCGAACCGTGTCGGAGAGACACACGCGCGCGTAATCGACCGTCGATCTGTCCTCTGCCAGCCGTGTGCGCGATACGGACGTGTTCCGGCCTTTTCGCCTAGCTCGCCCGCAAGTGTGCTCCGCCCCGCAGTCCCCGCGCCCGGCCACGTGACACACCAGTACGAGTCCCGACGAGTACGACGGGAAGTGTGAGTTCCGAAAGGGTTTCGCGATCGCCGGCCGCAGAGATACACCCCCGCGTACGAGCGACCGGTCTCCCCCAGAGTGAACCGATTCCGATCATCGTCGAGTAACCGAGCCGGCTCGCTGGCTGCCTGTCCGACCGTACGGAGACTCTGTGTTCAAACGGATCAGTTTTCGTTCGCGAGTCCGTCCACCATGGAGGAAGTGAATCGCAACGTCGCGGCCCCGGAGACGCTGTCCGCTCCGGAGAAGAAGCCGGAGTTCGTCGCGCTGGATACGACGAAGGATGAACGGACGCCGAGCCATCGGACCATCAAGCTCGTCGGGCTGAACCAGGCGCTGCCTTTGATGCAGGTAAGGCTTATGTAACCTCGCGGACGGTGTTCCGATACGAGTCGCGCTGGCTCGTGCCTCGTGCGGCACGGCGTTGCCTATAGATACGATTTCGAGCGTGCGCCGACGTTCCTCGTCGTCGTGCCTGTGTCATTAACCGAAGGGAAAAAACGGTCCGAACGGTTCCCGTGTACGGATAAACGCGTCCGTTCGATAAACCGCATCGTGCAGCAACTCTTCGCGGCAATCGTTTCCAGCCGATGATCCCGGCGCGATCGATTCCAGCCGGGGCGATTCTTCTTGTCCAAGTAACGATTTTCCAACCGAGACGGACGATCGATCTCTCGGTGCCGGCAGCGGAGGCTGTTTCCGGCGCACAAGGTCCCGTCCCTGCCGATTGGAATTCCGTTGTTCGGTCGGTAACGTGCGAATACGTTACGTGGAAATCGATGAATGGATGCCGGACGCTTTTATCGAACGTTTCGGTGCGCGTTCGAAAGATGTTAACGCGACGCGCAGTTCGCGTGCCCGTTTTGCAAAGTTCTTGGCTCTGCGAATCGTCGTTATTCGCGTGTCTTGTCGTTCGCTGGTTGGAAGGGACGTTGGTCGGTGTCGATTGGAAATTGTACGAATTACAGCATTGTCTCCCTGACGCTCAGATTGTGAAAATGGACAATTTGGGAACAGGAGATACGATTATTCCGGCTTTGTACTATGTTTTTAGAATCTTTGAAAAAACTATAAACACGAGTCGCAAGACTCGAATTCGCAAGACTCCTCTTCCCAAATTGTCCACTTTTATGGACAATCTGAGCGTCAATTAGGGAGGCATTACTGTACTACTACGAATTAAACCGACGACTGCGAATTGCTGGAATTATACAGGGTGCTCGGGAGATCGTGGTGCAGCCGGCGATTCTACGTGCAGATATAAGTCGAGAAAGAGGAATAACATTTTTTTATTTAAGGCTCCGTTTTCGAGGAAACCGAGTTGGAAGATGCGTCGAATTCGCGTGGCTTGTAATAAGACGAGACAGTAGAATTGGTGTATCATGATCAGACGCGCTAGTTTATTCCTATTCGATGGTATTACTTTTGCAACCTAATTGAAAAATCATCGAAGCATCGCAAAGAGAATTTTTGCCAGTTGAGTGGCATTTTTTTCTATGTGGGGAGGGGGGGGGGTGTAGTAGATAATTAATCGACGAGTAATTTAATTAGTGGGCGAGGAATTGTGGGGATCGTGGAAATACGAGATTTATTGAGAATTCGCCGCGAATATTTGTTGCGCTTTCGGTGGTTAATTTTGTGCTCGACGATCCGAGTGACATTGGCGTATTCGACGCAAGGGCTGCTTCAGGCGCGGTTATCGCTAATTTCGATGAGATTTGATCGGGCTGTAAATCTGTGTCTTTAATAAATATCGTTATGATTTTGGAACAAGGCGTCCGTTTAACCCTGGCTCGGGCGCGTCGGTTAAGGTTACATAAAGGTAGCGTGGGGTGCGCGACACCCTAAGAGACCCGTAAAAATAATATCGAGAACGAAATCAGGCTAATGTGACTCTCAATTAAAAAGCTGATATAGCAATTGACAGCTAGGTGATTTGTTAATGGTGAATATATTTGGTGTTGCAACATATAATTTTAATTCTTAATTTGTTAATCCATCTGAAGGAATTTGTCTTATTAGATTAAGTGGATATCATAAACAAATCATGAAAAGAGATATAAGATGACATCGATCATGAATAAATGATAATTTTAAAAATGTCAAACTTCTTGAATCATATTGTTAAACAATAGAGGCATCAAGTCAATAATAACAATTTAAGAAAAATTTGTATTTCTGTAACTTTTCAACTGAACTTTATTTAAGACGTTCGAATACTTTTTTGACACGAAAATTCCACGCTTTTTAATATTTTTTAAATTATGTTGGCGACGTTTTATGCTAAATCGAAAACTTTTTCTATTTTGACATTTATATACTTAACCATATAGGATTTTTCCTTCCAATGTATATTTATTTAAATATATGGCATAGAAGTCAAGATTATATCAGTGTTCGAATATTTTTGTGTAGGAGTGTATACACAGTTATATGAATTAGAGTAGTAGATGGCTTCATTGATCAGACGTCACGGGACAGAAACAACTCTAATGTTTCAATTATTTATTTAAAAACGTGATTATCGCAGCGGACATTTTTTCTTCTTCAAAATTACGCTAAATGTTCCAATTCTCAACATATTGATTGTTTTGCCACTCGTATAGTTATTCAATAACACTGTTCAAACAGGAAAATTTAAAATACAAGTAAACTAAACTAAACTAGAACAAGAAAAGTGTACGTACGTTACGTAAATTTGAAGAAAAAAACACGTGAATAACGTGGTCGTAAAAATGTAGAGTAATATCCGGTTGGCTTTGTTTTCGAGAAAAAACGTATTCGAAGCCACATTATTGACACCTGAAAGTCTGAACAGCGTGGGTTGGCCGCTGCGTAGGCTGACCTCGGATAAACATATTCATGCGATAATAATGAATATAATTACGAATAATTGAATGCGACAGAGCTTTGTTGCCTGCACGATCTAGAATCTAGACTATTTAATGAAGTTTTGTAGGCGTGTTTTATCGGGTTTTGATGGGCCAGCAGCACACTAATTGAACTGCTGCATTCGCTGCAGAATGCTGTATTCGCTGCAGCAACGTGCAGCTCGAAATTGTTCAAATATCGTGCACGCAGTTTATTCGAGCTGCAGTTTATTCTTGAAGAAATCATTTGGAGAACATTTTACCAAATCAAATTATACGTTATGAGAATGAACTTTGAATGACGGATAAGAGATAAGGATTAACGAATTAAATTTTATTTAACGTTATCGAACAAGTATCCGATCGAGTGAAAATTAGATAACAAAACTGGATAACAATTTATATGGTGAATAAAATATTGCTCGAGTAAAAAATTCATTTAAATTAGTAGTTATTTGTTGTTCGAATAAGACTTTATTTGCATAGAAATTCACTCGGAAAATAATCGATGTGAACAAAAATTATAGAATATAGTGTTTTTCCACAGTTTATCGATCAATTTCTTCCATGTTCATTTGTGCAATTAACTATTTTTACGACTCCTGCGTCGGGAACTCAGTAACGAGTTATTAACGAAGAACACCGACCAATCGGCGAGCGAGTGCGGCCGGCGCTCCGCCCTAGCGGCCAATGCCGCGTCGCGCTGGCCGTCTGACGCGATGGCAGTGGTCGCGTGGGCGGGGCGTCAGCCGCGCGCGATCTCTCATTGGTCACCGTTTATCGCGAATAACTCTTAAACAAGGCCGCGTATTGCATTTTCGCAAAGGAAAAAGTTGCTCGAAATCACCTCATGAATCCCACATTCCCCGGAAATGCCATAATTTCGGGACACTCGGTAGATTACGAAGCGTGCTTCCTACCCGAAACTTTACAAATCCTATGCGACCATTATGCACGCCCACGAGACGTCCGACTATATATCGTCGGAACTGGCGTCACCCGTACCTAAAGGATCGCTTCCAGTGCGACGCGGCGGCAACGGTATCGATTGCTCCGACACGCTCCAGAGGAAACTTGGATCTCTCGTGTGGGCAGCGACATTGTTCTGCATCGATATCCTGAGCACACCGCGGAGCGTCTCGCGGGCTTCTTCCAGATAAAGCGAACACGGTGACGAATTTGAACGCGATCACGATTACTCTCGACGCTGCTCTGCGAATTACGAACGCGCGCGGAGGTGTCGATAACGTGCGCAGTCCCGCGGAGAAACGGTTATCGCGCCGGAGTTCGATGTTTTCACGCTCGAGCCGCGAATACCGTCTCGCGCGTCGTGTATTTATTACGTTCGAGACCGGTTCCCAGATAATTCGTGCCGCCTGCCCGACTAGTTGGATAACAACGACTAGCAGAAAAATATCGTAATTATGTGTTACGTGTTTTTTTTGTGGCCGTTCCGCGACTATCGTTTCGATTCTGTAAACTCTCGAGATTAAAGATTGTAATTAATCGCGGCGATCGCTGTTGGGAGCACGCGTTGATAAGTGAACGTCGTTTCTCCGCATCGAGGATCGATCCTTCTGCGCGATAATATGTACATAATCTTACGGATACACGGGCACCTTATCGGAGTACATTTGCATTTACAGAGTATTTGCACGCGCTGCCGAAATCGCGTTATCTGAACCGGCGATAGCGCCGATTTTACGAATTTATATCGTCGTGCAGGATCTGTAGAGTGATTTTCTCGTATCGGGAACGAACGTTTGTTAAAACGTGTTGGCAGGGTTTCGGACACAGCCGCGTATTTTCGTTGCGTTTATTATATTTCGTTGCATTGACTCGGTTTCCGCGAGGCTCGAAAGGAATTTACGCTCGAAGTGTAAAGAGGAATTTCTCAATCTGGCATTGCGTTGCACTAAATATGCAAAAGTTTGCCTTCTTTTCGTTTCTAATTGTTTGAGTACAATGATTTGTAGCCTGTTTTTCTATCGGGCTGTCTAAATTCAACGTGAATGTACTCAGTGAACAGCAAAATCGAGTCAACACGTTTTAAAACTGTGTAACTGTTTTCTTACAAATTGCATTAAACCGCTTGAATTGTTTCATGTTGGTGGGTACAATGATTAAAATAATGTTCTCGAATGTTTGCATTTACTACTTGAAACGATAAAAAACGTTCTACGAGTAAAACACAGTTGTGCTTCCCACGGTGTGTGTCATGGTTTGAGAATAATTACGATAATCACGTCAGAAAAACACTTAAAAGCGCTTCGCGTTATCGTGTAGCATATTTTTTAAAAAACGTAATCGCATCTTTTCGTGTCTCCTGCCTCGTGCCGTTCTACGTTCACGCCGCGTCGGAACGATGTTGCTGATACAAAGAACCTTCGTCAGATGCCTGCAAATTCTGAATAAAAACGCGAACGTCTCTTCGGGGTAGATGCAACGCGAGCAAAAGTCACGAAGAACGTGAAATGTCTT